TCTGAAAAAGACATGGCCGATTGACTGACCCTGTAATATATTTAATGAATATATTGTAAGTATATTGTACAGTATGTAATGCTTGAAGTTGCAACTTCAAACACACTTGCTTAGATTAATACTTGTGACAGCTGAAACTGGTATTGACTAAAGTTGGGCCCATCTTTTATCAGATGTAACTTCAGGACTAGAATATTGTAATGAATATACGCAAATTTACCAAAAAGCAGTAGAAGTCTGAAATTTTACAACATCAACATCATATTCGACGCATTTCCAAAATTTTTCGTATCTTTTAAGAGATTGTAATCCACCGTAATAAGGTTCGAGTTTACCTCTTGTAGTTAATCGCAAATTTTTTTCCGCGGGGAAAGGATTTTTAGGCTAAAAATTAATTTTTTATTTAAATAATACTTTCTATTTATTATACTGTATTGAATAAAAAATAATTTACCCAATCTTTTGCTACGGAAACATTTGCAAATGCTTTATCAATTTTATCAAAAGCTTGATTCTGGTCTGCACCCGGAAATCTCGACCCTAATAAATAGTTTCCCAAAAAAAATTACTTTATATCATCAAATTTTCGTTGTGTATATGAATAAATAATTACCATGTCTAGTAAGCAAAAATAATTGATTTAATGTATAATTATCAGGATAGTTTATAGGCTTAATGTCATCAAGAGAAAAAACATCCTTTGCTGGTCCAATTTCGAAAAAATGATTATTGATAAGATAATCAGGAGAGTGCTTATATAAAAATGGTTCATGTTCCGAACATAACGTTAGTTTATAGAATAAAGATAATGAGAAAATAAAAGTAAACAATTGAATGCTATATGAAACCATTTTTTTTAGTTTTCAGTAAAATTGAATTGAAATCAAACATTTATATACAAAAAACGCAAAAATGGATGATCGACAAATCGCATCGGCATACAGAAGATAAAGTTGTTTTACGCAAAAAAAATTTTTTTTTTGTTGCTCTATGATCGTCAAAGGAATTACCTCATTTCTCCGCAGTAAAACTGTTACAAGAACCAGATTACTACATTTTTCGTCGATTTTACCAACCCTTACGCAATACCATTTCATTTCTTCCCATTACTTAGGGTTGTTAAAAGTCCGACCCTTTCGGTCCGGACTCAGTGAGTAGGGACTTCGATTAGAACTCGGTCCTTGAGTCAAGTCCGTGCATCAGGGCTACCGAATAATTGATTGTGAGAGCAGCAATTTTTGTCACAGTATGTAAACATAATAACTTGCTGATTTTTGATTTTTGACGTCAAAGCTATATTTAAAAAAATAAACTTATAATTAATTTGTAAAAATCGCAATTAATTGCAATTATTTCACAATTAATTGTTCTGCAATTGTTTATCTATAACAATTTCATTGAATGTAATTGTGTAATAATTTAATTGCAATTGAATTTTCGGTACCCCTGCCGTGCATGTAATAACAATAGATCATTCTCGTGCAATCACATCCATGCCCTTCTAGAAGAAAAGACATGCATATGGGACTTTGTTCGGGAGATGTAAATTAGCCAATCACATACATGCCCTTCTAGAACAAAAGACATATATATGCAGTGTTGTTAATTTAACCGAGACAATGTTAATTAACTATTTGAACTAATGAATCATTTATTTATCGCTGTTTGCAACCCATGATAAAATTTGTAGATCGCTGCATACCCCGATTGTTCGATTGAAATCGATTGTACATGATTGTACGTGATTGTATGCGATTTCTCAGCAACCATCAAATCAAATTCGATGAAAATTTTTTTATTCGAATTTATAGAATTCAAATAAAAAAAAATTCATCAAATTTGATCAGATAGTTGCTGAGATATCTTCACTCAAAGCTTTAGGAAAAGTTTGGCGCAGTTCTATTTTTGATCGACGTTTTGATATTTTAAAAAAACTTTGAGCGATGATATCTTAGTAACCATCTGATCAAATTCGATGAATTTTTTTTATTTGAATTCTATAGATTCTTAAAATTCGAATAAAAAATTTTCGTCGAATTTGATCGGATGATTGCTGAGAAATCGCATACAATCGCGTACAATCACGTACAATTGATTTCAATCGAACAATCGGGGTATGCAGTATAGATGCTTGACGAAATTATTTTTGAATTGACGAATAGTTTCGTCATTTTGCGATTGTGCCAAAAATTTCACATAAACGCCAAGAAATTTTTCCATAAACTTAGACAGCATATTCCTTAGAATAAGATTCTAATTCAAAATTAATTTCGTCACTAATAATTATAGATCAAAATAATTTCGTCAAGAGTTTCGTCATTTCGTCAGGTTTAATTTCGTCAAGCATCACTAGTATGCAGCGATCTACAAATTTTATCATGGGTTGCATCAATATGCAAACAGCGATAATCCATTAACTGAGTCAATACAATTGAACGTCAGATATCTAAAATGTGTAATTGTATGATTATAAACCAATAAAATGAGTTTATATTTATAGAACTATGCATATACTATGCATCTCGTTGTATATACATGTGACCGAAACTTTTAACGGTTTTGACGAAACCGAAAGTCCGTAACACTGATTCGAAACTTATGCCGAAACCCGAAACCCTTGCCGAAACCCAAAATTTAGCCGAAATTTATTTTTTATAAATTGAAACCTGGAAGTGAATATTTTTTAAGTTGTCAGTGTGTTAAATCTATCTCTGAAAAAAAAATGTTAGTTTAACCACACATAAGGTACAATAGGTGTTCCGACATTTTCAAAAAATACACGCAGCATAGCGAATCCAAAATTTATTTCGCTATTTCTTTAGAGGAAACAAAATACATAATCTAAGAATTTTCATCATTATCAATTTCCATTGACATATTTCTAGCTAATGTTTCAATGTCAAAATCATTGTGTTGTGAATCTAATATAATAGTTTGTCTTCTTGGACTGACTATTATTTCATTATTTGCTTTCCCGTCTACATTAAACATTTGCAACCCGATATCTATACTATTCATAATATTTAAAGTATACACTTCGGATGTATTGATATCTATTTCTGTATTGAGATTATCGTGATTTTCGTTATTGGTATTTAAAAAATCGGTGGTTTCATCAATCTCATTATTAATTGCTGTAACTGAATCGATTAGTTGGTTACGTAATAAATTTTCAGGCATATCAACTGCATAACAAGATAATTCTTGTTTCGCATTAGTAATATAAAAGGTGTGTAATTTGCACATCCCTTCTGCCCGCTCTGCAGCCAAATTAGTACGTCTTTGATTATAAAACCAACCAAGAACCGAGAAAGAACGCTCACAAGAAGCACTATGTGGAGTTATCGCAAAAAGACGAAGTGCCACCGCTTGTAATTCCCATTCTTCCTTTTTATATTGTGCAGTATCCCACCAAATAATTGGCGTATCCGATTTAGGATTGTATGGTTGATCGAATGGTGCTTTTTTACTTTTATATTTTCGTAGTTGAGATAATAGTTTGCTGCATGATTCTTGATCATGTCCCATGTTTTTCCAAATTTGTCCAGCTGTTATACTAATATCACGAAATTTTTCCAAATCGATACCGTTACCTAAAAAAATATATTTTTATTTATTTATAT